CAGGATCTTTTTCTTTCTGTGTGCAGCTCATGAAACACACCCAGGTCTCGTTCATGTTAAATATAACAAACAGCAGGCTCTCATAAAGAGCAGAGTATCGTCAGCATGAGACGTGTGTGTGTGTGTGTGTGTGTGTGTGTGTGTGTGTGTGTGTGTGTGTGTGTGTGTGTGTGTGTGTGTGTGTGTGTGTGTGTGTGTGTGTGTGTGTGTGTGTGTGTGTGTGTGTGTGTGTGTGTGTGTGTGTGTGTGTGTGTGTGTGTGTGTGTGTGTGTGTGTGTGTCATTTACATGCTCTGTAATTAACATGCTGCTCCCTTTCAGATGCTATATCTGTTATAAAGAGAGGCACATGTGGTCGTTTGTGGTGCGGCAGCGGATCTATATAAAGTGTGTGTGTGTGTGTGTGTGTGTAAGTAAGTAAAATATGTGGACTTTTATGTGTGCTGTTGATGCGATCGCAGCAGCAGGGGGGGCAACATATTTTTTATTTATTTTAGGGTATATTTTTATATTAAAATCTGCTATCTTATCCACGCACGCACACAGACTCAAAGACCTTATTCAAATGAAGCCATGAGAAGCTTTAGTTTTGATATGAGTAAGGCACCTCAGCCCGTGATATTCCATGCGCTCAGTGAGGTCCTCACACGCGTTCTCTCTACCCCACTCTCTCATGTATGAAGTTCATGAATAAAGAAAAAATGGATAAAACAGGTGGGAAATTTACTCGGGCGGCCATAAATATAATTGGGTGGCCTGTCCAGGTATCGTTGATCTGTGGGAAACCCTGCGCCATGTATCAGCTTAACATGCTGATGCTACTTTATCCAGGATAGTCCAGAATCAACCAATAACTTTAACCTTCCTCATATATCAGAGCCTTCAGTAAAGAAGTGAACTTTCTGCTGAAATGTATCAACTTATCAGCACAGCCTGAATCTGCATCATGATGTCGTTCTTTCAGCCTGTTTACTGTGACTAAATCTCAGTCAAATCTGTTCATTTTGGGTTCACAGCGCTGCAGTAAGACAGATTTCAGCCGGCTTTAGTGTGACTTGTTAGATACAGTGAACCTGTAAGTGACAGGAGCTCTACATTTGACACAGAGCATGGTAGATACTGTCTATCAGAGAAATCCCGGTACTGACTGATGCTAGCTAACAGGTCATCAAACTGGGACCTGGTCCGGTTTCGAGCTAACAGGTTATCAAACTGGGACCTGGTACTGATCCCACAGGTCATCAGACTGAGACCTGGTCAGCCTCAGGTAGCGCGAAGCAGCATGACAGTTCATCAGACACAGCTCATGGAGGAGGAGGGAGATTGACCCAGCTCTAACCCTAAGCCTGTTTTTATCAACACAAAAAGAAACGCTTGCTCGCAGCATATCCTCAAACAGATGTGAAAGCACTCGGCTGCCCCTGGAATAAATACATCCACAGTTGATGTACAACAGTTTGACCAAACTCTGTGATGTCAGGAGGGAGTCTGTATGTAAAGTGTTTCCTCTGTGGTTCGGAGCAGGTTGTGCGATGGAAACTCTGAGGCTCTCCGGCAGGGTGTGGCTGTTTCTGGACCGAGCCGAGTCCACTTCTTCTGCTGTCTGGAAGTGAACAACAGCAGAGGAAACTTGGAGCTCGGCCATGCCAGTCCGAGCCGGCTGCACCCGGCCTGCAGCTAAAAGCAGCCGTCACTCCTCCGTGCAGTTTACAGGCATAACAGAAGCTGCATCTGAGCGTTCATTCTTTGTTTTCTACAGAATGACAGAGCCACTGCGTCATCGAGCAACAGGAAACAACTTTTTGTACGATATTTACAACTTTACTCTAACTTAAAATATTCTGAGTCAAACAACTAACATTCAGAAACCTGGAAAGAATCAGTGGAGAGCTATTAGAATATCTGGGTAGAAAGATGTGTTAGAGATGAGAGCATTGTAAAGGTAAAATGTTTGGTTTATGGTTAAATTTGCCTCTAATCCTTGTCTGAGTAATTTAATATTTAGTTTCTACAGATACTGATACTTGTACCCTAAAAAATATTTTTTTAAAGGTTTACTTTTGGGCTTTGTATGCCTTTATTTAGAGATAGTGGAAAGTCAGAAATCAGGGAGATAGAGATTGGGTGGAGATTGAGGGGATTTCTTCTTTCAAAAATTGAGATCTTAAGTCAAGGCATTAAACGTCTATGGAAGCCCTAAGCAGTCATACATCCATGCACTTTATTTTACTACGGTTTTTCATGATAACAATAATTTCCAGCTGTTTTCCAGAAATCTCGACGTATTAAATCTGGTTTGCATGATAACAAATTAATTACTCAAGGTCTCAAGAAATCAACTGGAACAAACCAGTAATGTTAGCCCACAATAACAAGACCAAAACTAGAAACAGCTCAAATTTATTACAGTGGCCTCGTTCTCTCAGGCAGGATCCAAAGAGCGTCCTGGAGCACACAGATCACTTTAGTGCAAATTTATTAAGGTGCTAACGTTTCGTGATACTGCATCTTTCTCAAAGTCAAGTGTCAGAGTCAAAGGTTGTGTGTCGAAATGTTAGTCCTTTGCACCAAAATAAATTTGCCTTAAGTGATTCTCTGCGTTTTTGAAGCGACAGGAGCCGTTTAAAATCACGTCATATGACGGCCCACTTACTTCTTTGAGCACGGTTGCATTCAAGGATCGCCCTTTTGACACCATCTTTTCAAGTGGACTCGGGCACAGTACCTGAGTCCTGTACGTTTATGTTCACACTGATCTAATCGACCTAACTTTAGGGGTCTAGAGTACTCAGTTCAGGGCTCAGGTTCCCCATGTGAAACCTCCCAAAGTGGAGCTGGTGGACCCTGCAGAAACTCTGGTGGTCTTATAAAAGAAGAAAAAAAGAAATACTAAACAATGTTGAAACTGAAGTCACCTTACACCGCTTTTAAGGAGGTGAGAGAAGTAAGGAAGACATGTGTTTGATGAACTTCATGAGTAATGAGTGGATAACTGCAGAAAGGTCGACTGTGTCTGCAGTGTGAGCAGGTTTCACCTCCCTGGTTGTCTTCAGCACTCCATCTTTATCTGAGCGTCATCCCGTCCTCCCCTGTGTTGTTTCCCCTCGGGGGCTGTTCAAAGTTTCCTCTAATCTAGTCTCATTTGTGCACATGTAGCTAAATGTCCTGACCGCGGCGGTTGTAGTGTAGAGTTGCTGTGAGGAGAATTTCCAGCCGCATTCCTGAATATTTTCCTCCAAGAAGCTGCTGAGGTTTGAGAAAGTTTCCTGAGAAGACACTGAGCCGCTTCCGCCTCTCTGAGCGGAGGAATTATTGAGGAATGTTGTTCATAGACATCCCTCTCCTCCGTTACTGCAGCGCTCCTCATCCCTGTGTGTGTGTGTGTGTGTGTGTGTGTGTGTGCGTGTGTGTGTGCGCGCGTGCGTGCGTGCGTGCGTGCGTGCGTGCGCGTGCGTGCGCGTGCGTGCGCGTGCGTGTGTGTTTAAGGTTTAACACTCTCCCTCCAGCTTCCAGACTCTCTGCTCTGATCTCGTCACACAAAGAACTGTTTGTACCTTCATGGTTACGGCTCCCCGCCGTTCTGAAGGTCAAAAACATTGGTTGAAGGAACAGGTTGAAGGTGAAGCTCTGCAGTCATAAAAGTAACCAATCAGCTCCAAGACTGAAGTGATAATGAGTCAAACAAGTGGACTCTCAGCCAGGAAGTACTGGCAGCTTCTTCTAACTTTATGGTTTAGTTTTATAGTTTTAGTGTTTTATAGTTATCCTTATAGTTTATCATTATGGAGCCGCTGGCCTGTTATTCAGTATTGTTCATTTTTACGTGGTACTAACCTTCTGGAAGGCTTTGTATTTTTCAGGGAAAGCCACAGGGGCGCTGAGAGTCAGTCAGAGATCAGAGAGTCAGTTTATATAACGGCACCAAGCTACATGCTGCTGACAAGAATCAGGTTTTGTTTTAAGGGCAACTTGCTGGTTAGAAACCACAGTGAATCAATGAGTAGGGAAAACGGTTTGGATATTTATGAATGAGTCCTCTACAGTGGACTACTCTACTTCTGGAACCATTTAGTACGTTTGGTTATTCTGTGAGGTTACGGAGCTCATTCTGTGTCACAAGGTGTTCAAAAACAAAGATAGAGGACCTACGAGCAGCAGCAGAGAAATAAGTTATTTAACCGAAGACAGATGTTAGAAAACAAAAGCTTTCTGTTCAAAAGTCCAAAATCCCAAATGAGACATGTCCAATATAAAAGTCCAAACACCGGGAGGAAAAGAAAACGAGGAGACATGGAGACATGGAGAAGGTTTGACGAGCGACTGACACAGAGGGGCAGAAACACAGCGACTATGATCAATAAAGTATTGATCATTTTAGATTGGGAAAACTCAAACCTTCCAAGAACATGATAATAAAAGTCAAATCCATGGAAAAAACATGAACAGCACCAGAGTAAGGTTATGGGAAACATCAGGAGAGGGCGCTACAACTTTGACCAAACTCTAGACGAGGAAACAAAAGTCTAAGCAGTGGGGCGCTGGTGACGCGGTGGATGGTGTGCGAGCCCAATGTACGGAGGCTGTAGTCCTCTGAGCGGGCGGTTCAGGTTTGAATCGGACCTGTGGCTCCTTTCCAGCATGTCGTTGCCCGCTCTCTCTCTCTCCCTGATTTACGACTCTATCCACTGTCCTATCTCTCCAAAAAAGTCACAAAAAGCCCAAAAATAAGCAGTAAATGTTGCAAACGTCTGCAAGCCGTGAGTGTTCAGATACTTCATCTGAATCTTTTCTCACTAATTCAACAACGTACATCTGCAGAACATCTGCTGCTCTCTGCAGTCTGTGTTGTTTTCTGAATGGTTTGTATGAGAGGGAATATTAACAGGTAAAAAACACAAAAACAGAGAAATCTTGAGAGGAATTTGAAATATCAGCCGTCAAGGAAAAAGGTCAGAATAAATTAAGGTGAAATAAATAATTGTTCCCTTCTTTTTTTTTCAGATTCAGCAGCTGGAGACTCAGGTGATCGACGCAGAGAAACGAGCGTTCACCGCTCAGCAGCAGGTGAGGATCAAACAAACCTCTGCAGTCAGAGTGTGTGTGTTTGGTGTGTGTGTGTGTGTGTGTGTGTTTACTGGTTGTGTGTGTCATGTTTGCAGGCGCAGTGGATGGAGGAGAAGCTGAAAGCTGCAGATGTTCCGTCCGGAGACTCGGAGGTGCGTTTGTTTCAGAGGTGTCAGGAGCTGCAGGTGTCACTGCAGGAGAGGGAGGAGGTCATCGCCCGGATGGAGCTGCAGCTGGAGGAGCAGGTAGAACACGCACACATTCATGTGCACTGTAATGTGTCATGGAAGATCTTGGACTACTGAGAAACACGGCTGATGTTTGTGCTTCCACCAGAAACAGAACCGACTTCAGGACGCAAAAACTGTGGAGGAGAAAGCCGCTAAGATCAAGGAGTGGGTGATGCTGAAGCTGTCAGAGGTAGATTATAACGTTCCCCAAACGGGTTCATACTGATGGAAAACGTAAGCTGGATGGTCACTAGGATCAAATTGTGTTGGATAATTTGGTGATTCAGTTCGTTAAGATGTTTTTCTTCTGTAGTTTGAGGTGGAGAACACAGCCTTAAGAGAAACCAACAAGCTGCAGGAGGCTCAGATCAAAGACTTACAGAAACAAGTGCAGGGTGAGAGGCCGCAGTCTTTAAAGTTTATAATTGAATAACCTGATAATGTCCACATACACACATATGCTTATAACAGAGCTACATGTACTGAATGTGTGTGTGTGTGTGTGTGTGTGTGTGTGTGTGTGTGTGTGTGTGTGTGTGTTTGCAGCGTTTGAGCAGAAGTGTGCAGCCGAGGCAGGAAGAGGACTCCATCACCGACCAGGTGAAGCACAGCGTCTCAGCAGTCTGACGTTCGGCTGTTTCCAGGTGAGGGGGAAGAGTCCGCAGGTAATGACCGGGCCCGCCCCCTCCAGAGGACCCTCAGCACCCAGGGGGAGACAGAGGAAGGGGACAAAACGGGTGAGTTTCCTTAAACAGCAGCTAAGGATTCTGAGAGTCAGCATAAATTATCATTATACTTTTTCTTCATTGGTGAAAAACTGAATTCATCGCCTCACCAAAAGATTTCAACTTAAAAGATAGTTTATTAACAAGTGCTGCAAACCCCCCAATGATGAGAAAAGTCCATCCTCTCCGTCTTTTGCCTGCTCCACTTTTCAGAAAATGTGTGCTCAAACAGGCCGTTTGGAGATGTTCCCTTCATGACATCACAAAGGGCAGTAGCCCCTCCCCCAGGTGGGTGACACTCCCACAGCTAGGTGTTTGTTCTGCCCTCTGAGTCTGCCTTCTCACCGTAAACAATAGGACATGGAGCGAGAAAGCCTGAGTACACCCAAGCCCTTCCAGAGAGGGGGCGTGGTCAGACACAGCTCATTTACATATTTAAAGGTACAGACACAGAAACAGCCTGTTCTGAGCAGGGCTGAAATAGAGGGGTTTATAGGCATGATGAAATACAGGATCAGAGTCTCCAGCACTTATTGTGAGCATGTCAGGAAGGTGTAGGATCTGAGCGATCTCTTACAACATAAGCATCATTACTGGTTAACCTTTAAGTGATACAGATGTGATTGACAGTTTGAAACAGATGTTGATCCGTGTTTCCTCAGAGACAGAGAGGAGCGCTGCTCAGACCTCCTCTTCAGGATCAGACTCTGAGCTCCACAGACCGGATCATTCTGGACTCCTGCAGGAGGACAGCGCCTCTGAAAGTCTGGGTGACAACATGTGTGGAGCTGAGTCCAGGGGGGTCTCCTCGGTGCTGTCCAGCGCTGCATCAGAGGGGGAGGGGGGAGGAGGAGAAGGGGGTGAGGACAGCAGGGAGAGAGGCCTGGAGTTCAGCCGGCCAGGCAGTGAGACGTACCTGACGGCATCAGACGACAGCAGCTCGATGTTTGATGACGACATGCAGCGAGCTGATCGTCCACGCTTCAGCCTGCAGGGGGCATCAGAGGGGGGGAGTCAGGGGGGAGAGGGGGAGTCTCAGAGGGAGGACTGCACCTCCGAGGAGCTCAACAAACGTTTCCAGTCTCATAGACTGGACTCATCGTCCTCCTCCAGCGAAACAAACACCCCCGCCCTTACCCCAAAACGACCCAACGCCCCTCAGGACCCGAAGGACACCCCCGCCTCCCCCAAACAGCCCCGCCTGCGGACCCCAGCAGGGTTCGGCCTGATGAACGTGGCTCTGGCTAAGAAACACCTGAGCCAACCGCCGATCAGCCGAGAGACATTGCATGGACAAACACGCAACGCTCTGAGCATGCTCCGCCCCCTCCGGCCCCACGAGACGGACCTGGACCAGGAGCAGGAGGTTGTCATGGAAACTGAGAAGGACAAGCCCACATTTCCAGCCCTACAGAGCTCACCCTGTCCTCCTGAACCTGGTGCAGAGAGGCAGGACGGTGACAGCTCAGCACCGGGTATCAAACCTCCAACACCCCCGCTGCACAGACTGCCCTCCTGGGTAAGATCATCCAGCTTCATTTCAATGTATTTATTAATTAAAAACACTTAAACACATTAAATGTCAAAACATGCCACAAAACAGCTGTCTGACACAGGTGTCATAGCAACGCATAGCACACACATTGAGAAAGTGGCTAATGGCAATGTTTTTGAAGATCCTGTGAGGAGTTTTTATCTGATTATGAAACTGACTGAAATTAAAAAATCAAACCAGACCATCATTAAGCAGATGTATTGTTTGTTTTAAGTTATTTTAATGTGTGTTAGTGCTGTCAGTGGATCGGTGTCAGACGAGAAAATTAACAGCACGCTGCAGAAACATTTAGTTCACATTTTCTACCATTTTTGAGAACACGCTGACAGCTGCAATCAGCTGCAGGTCACTGCGCATACTCAGGTATTATCTTCAAAGTTTAAAATAATGTTTCCCCAGGAGAGTCGTATCTACGCTGTGGCTAAATCCGGGATCAGACTGTCGGAGACGTCCTGCTCAGATGCTGCCAGTAAAGGTGAGAACACCTGTCCACATGTGTGTCACCTGCAGAGACGTTCAGCTGAACAGTTTAAAGACTGATCTGTGATCTGTGTTACAGACCCATCCCTGCAGTCCTCCTATCCGGCCTTCGTCATGTACACCTCCCTCATCTATAAAAACATGACCACACCTGTCTACACCACTTTGAAGGGGGTGAGATGCTGTGAATGTGATCACTTGTAAACTTCATGTAAACTCCTGTGTTCATATCAGCCTATAAGTCACCACCTCTTGTCCCACAGAAAGCAACACTGCTGAGCAGCAGTCCATTCTCCGACGAGTCGTCAAGCTCCGACGAGTCCTCAAGCTCCGGAGAAGAGGACGGCTCCATCTGCAGCTCCCGCACCTCCTCCAGCTCCCGCAAAGACAGCAGCCCGGGCAGCCCGCGCTCGCTCAAGAGAGGTAACACACACACACGGCCTGACACAGCTGCTGCAGTGTTTAATTAAAACCTTTTCAGACGTTTTCAGTGTGTGTGTGAGTGATTTACAATTTGGTGTTCAGAAATTAATGTTGTGTTTTATCAAATGCAACTTCTAAATTATAACTGAAAGTGTTGATAATCATTTTCATACAAACATACAGACTTTTTTGATTGGCTGTTAATTATTGTAAAAGTATTCGGCACAACAATCGAGAAAGGACACACGTTCAAACCAAACAGGGCGCGTGCTGAGTTGAGCAGATAAGTCTCTGAAAACAAAGAGACATGCTGCAGGGCTCCAATATTCCAGAAACATATTTCACTCAGTAAAAGTATTCAGAACACGGGTGGAAATGTTTTGATTTCTGAGTTTAAACTCAAACTCTTTGCAGAAGAAAAAATAAAGAATCCAAGTGAAAAAAATGGGTTAAAAAGCATCATTTCAGAGTGCATGCAGAGTAATAAAAATAACCGCATTCAGAGTGTATTTATTGAAGTGCGTCACCTCTTCTCCTCCAGCTGTGTCCATGTCCTCGATGACCTCCGAGAGCGACTACGCCATCCCTCCTGACGCCTACTCCACCGACACAGAGTGCTCCGAACCCGAGCACAAGCTGCCAAAGACCTGCTCCTCATCCAGTGACAACGGGAAGACTGTGAGTCTGTGTGAGCAGGTTCCTCCAGGTGCTCTGTGTGAGACTCACCTGTTACCCAGAATGCATCAGATTCACATTTTTCTGTGCATGTGTGGGTTCTCTCCGGGTACTCCGGCTTCCTCCCACAGTCCAAAGACATGCTCGTTATGTTAACTGGTGACTCTAAATTGCCCGTAGGTGTGAATGTGAGTGTGTCTGGTTGTCTGTCTCTATATGTCAGCACTGTGATTGGCTGGTGAACAGTCCAGGGTGTAACCCCGCCTCTCACCCAATGGCAGCTGGGACCGGCTCGAGCTGCACCTAGACATGAACCTGAACAGGTGTGTGTGTGTTTTGTAGGAGCCGATGGAGAAGTCGGGCTACCTGCTGAAGATGGTGAAGACCTGGAAGAAAACCTGGAAGAGACGCTGGTTTGTCCTGAAAGACGGAGAGCTGCTCTACTACAAATCACCTGTAGGTTCAAACACTTTCTCTTCCTTTAGGGGGAGCAGACTGGAAACAAAACGATTCATTTCCTGACTAAAGCCTGAAAGTTTCAGCAGGTTATCTGCATGTCTCCATCATTCCAACATGGAGGTCATTTGTGTTTGAGTCCTGTGACCTCTGAACTGCATTTTGCCAGTTCTTCCCCCCCATCACTTTACATTTGGTCGTACAAATCTTTGCCGAAATTGCACAGCTCAAGTTTTGTGCCTTATTATTAGTTACCGTAAAATGTTGATTATATAATTCAGCAGGTATTTCAAGGAATTTTTGCACTTTATGCATTATTCATTTCACTAAGCATTTTTTTCTTTTATGCATATCAGAGTGAACACGTTAAAGGTTTAAATGTCATGATTGGATATATCTATAGAGTGGAAAAGTGGATTATTAAGAGCTGATATGGCTGATTTTTTAGTGTCAAATCAGTTGCACTTCTACGATTCTCTTAGCAGACGCTTCTATCTAAAGGGGCGCACATCAGCTGTATGTGCACTTCTATTTGAGTTACTGGATGTTTGCATCGGCCACTTTCTCATATGCTTTTTTTCTTAATTTATTTTCACCCAAAAAAAAGATCAATTTAGAAATAGTAAAAATAATGGTTTTGTTTTTTGGTACATTTCAGGAGATTTTAAATGTGGTATGAAGTGTTTCAGTTCATTTTGTTTTACTTTCTCTGCGTCCTTCAGAGTGACGTGATCAGGAAACCTCAGGGTCAGATCGAGGTCAACGCCAGCAGCAGCATCGCCCGCGGCGACGGAAAACAAATCCTCCAGGTGACTCGTCAAAGATGAAATAATGATTCCAGTCTGAGGAAACGATATTCAATCAAATCTTTACTGGTGTGTTTGTGCTGCTGTGTGCAGATCGTGACGGGGAAGCGTGTGTACTACCTGAAGGCCGACTCTCCTAACCTGCTGGATGAGTGGCTCAGGACGCTACAGAGCGTGCTCAGACTGAAATCTGCCAGTCCGCTCTTCACCCAGCCCGACATCCGGCCCAGCATGAAGGGGCTGCTCGTTAAGGTCATAAGCTGAATTATAACCCTGACTACACCTAACAGGAAGGGGGTCTTTGTTTGCACAGAGACGTCACTTCTACCCCTCTCCTGACTCTCTCTGTGTTTCCTCTCCTGCAGGTGAAGCATGGATACTCAAAGAGGGTTTGGTGTGCACTGATCGGGAAGACTTTGTTTTATTTCCGCAGCCAAGACGACAAGGTGAGCTACTCAGGTTATTGAGAATGGAAATACTTTGCTACTTTTTAATATCACATGTTTTAAAACAGTCTTGGTTATTTTAATGATCGATAGAATCTAAAAGTACCAAAGCTGAAAACGATATTTCTTTGGTCATAGTTTTTAACCACAAGCTGCCTCGAGTGCAAGAGAGAGAGAGCAATGATGTCGCTCTCCTTTGCACCTCTGCACCTTAACACTTCTGCTTTTGATCCAAATGATCACTAAAGCTGTTCTCAAATCTGCACTCCTGAAAATATTGAGATCATTTTAGGAGGACTGTTCCAAAGATTCTCCTGATCTGGCTGTTCACACATGCTCCTCACAGCTGGAGACTATCCCTGTCAGACAGGAGGGGAGGGGGGCCGGGGGTCTCCTGAAGTAAGACATGAGGAAGACGAGTAGTGGATGAAGCAACAGAGTGAGGCACCAGACTTGCAGCAGAAAAAAATCTAGGGGGCTGGCAGGAGAGTTTTCTGCAAGTGTGAAAGCCCTTTAACAAACAGAGATCATATCGTTTAGAAACACGAGGTATCAAAAAGTTCTGAAAAATTAGAAAATGTTGACAATCTTATTATAAATGTGTATGTTCACAGTTCCCTCTGGGTCAGATCAAGCTGTGGGAGGCCCGGGTGGAGGAGGTGGACAGGTCAAGAGATTCAGACGATGAGCTGAAGGCATGTGGGCGGGGCTTACAGGTGGCACCTTTTACCATCACCATCCACCCACAAGAGCAGGGGCCGACCTACCTGCTCATCGAGAACAAGCAGGAGAAGGTCAGCAACTCTCTCCTCTCCTCTCCTCTCTTTCTCAGTTCTCAGTCTCTCTCTAAATGTGTTTCCCGCTCCTCCATCCTATCTGATATCTGTGTGTGTGTGTGTGTGTGTGTGTGTGTGTGTGTGTGTGTGTGTGTGTGTGTGTGTGTGTGTGTGTGTGTGTGTGTGTGTGTGTGTGTGTGTGTGTGTGTGTGTGTGTGTGTGTGTGTGTGTGTGTGTGTGTGTGTGTGTGTGTGTCTGCAGGACTCGTGGCTCTTCCATCTCTCTGTGGCAGCAGGAACCTCGGTGGGAACCGTCGGCACCGACTTTGAACAGCTGCTGGGAAAACTCTTCAAACTGGACGGAGATCCCAGTCAGTAGTTCAGACACATTTATTATTATTTGTTCTGTTCAGGAGTGTGTCACACCTCACTACCACCTGCATGTTGATTCAGTCATTTATTGACATAATGTCACATAGCAGCAAACGTAGCATCTGATACATGCAGCATGGAATTGTGTTATTATTTATGATTTTATTGAGTCTGTGATGGAGTTACCTGGATCGAGTTGTTTGTCTCCTGGATGTGACTCGTGCTGGTTATTGAGGATGCCAGGATCTCTTTTTTAGCAAATAACTCCTAAAAAACAATCTGCTGAATTTGTACACCCGGACTTTGTACAGACATTTTTCCTTCCACGTCCTTAGTAAGATTTCCAGGTTCAGTCTGGGTGAGCTGATGTTTGAAAACAGCAGGAAAGATTCAGGAATAATTCACCAGGAGCGAGCGCACGCATTAAGTCACATCAAGTCAAGTTTATTTAGAAACAACATTTCAGCAAACAAGGCAATTGAAAGTGCTTCATACATGACATCACGACAAGAGAACCTACATTTTTACATTGCTGTCAAAAATTGACTTCCGTTTTATTGTTTTCATGAATAAAAAGGTGTGGAATAATCCCACACAAACCTGTTCTTTGTTTAAACTATTCTGTGAGTGTTAATTAAGATTTGAATTGAAAATTGTAAATCTAATTTTGACAACTTCAGAGCAGACAAAGCCGAGCCTCAGCCCCTCCCTCCTAAAACTACCTCAGACAAAAGGTCTCACCTAAACGACCCAACAGACCAAAAAGTACCACCGCTGACCTCCAGCCTTTTAGCATTTCATTTGTTTGTGTTTCAGACTCTCCCATCTGGAGACATCCCGTGTTGTGTTTCAGTAAAGAAGGTCTGTCGTCCCCTCTCACCACGCTGCCCTCACTGGCTCTGCAGACAGAGGCGGTTAAACTCTTTAAGGTACACACACACACACACACACACACACACACACACACACACACAGAGACGTACACAAAGTGTTTTTAAGGATTGTTCCTGAACAAATAAACTCGTTGGTGTGAGTGTCGTCGTCTCTCTCTCTCCTCAGACTTGTCAGCTTTTCATCAACGTGGCGATCGACGCTCCGGCCATCGACTACCACGTGTCTCTGGCTCAGAGCGCCCTGCAGGTGTGTCTGACCCACCCCGAGCTGCAGAACGAGTTCTTCTGTCAGCTCATCAAGCAGACCCGCAGGAGGCAGCCTCAAGGCCACCCGGGACCCCTGCAGGTCTGTACTCTCACCACACAGGGGCAGCAACAGATTTTATAACGAGTACATGCTCAAACAGGGTGTGAACATGTTTTATGGTCGACATTTCTTAAACATTTAATCTTAATAACATACTTGTCAGGATCTTTCAGTTTGAGTTGTTTTGCCAAAACAGCTTTAAAATGCAAAAAAACAGAAACTCAAGAGAGAAGAGAAAATTCCTGAAGTCATGTAAGATGTATGATCTAATAACCAGAGTCAGGAGTCTGACCAGAGGGCGCAAAGGTTCAGCTTTTACTTAAATTATTTCACAGAGTAATTATTTCTCAATCTCAGGATTTAAGGACAAAGGAGTTCATGAGTCATTTTACAACGCTCCGTGTTTATGAAGGATCTCAGTGTGCCCACGGATAACGGCCGAGGGAAACAGATTCATTGTGAAACTTAATTAGTGTGTGTGTGTGTGTGTGTGTGTGTGTGTGTGTGTGTGTGTGTGTGTGTGTGTGTGTGTGTGTGTGTGTGTGTGTGTGTGTGTGTGTGTGTGTGTGTGTGTGTGTGTGTGTGTGTGTTTCAGGGCTGGCAGTTCCTCGCTCTGTGTGTTGGACTTTTTCTGCCTCAGCATCCGTTCCTGTGGCTGCTGCAGGTTCACCTGAACAGACACGGGGACTCCAGGTGAGAACAGATTGTTTTAAACATTTTACTAAGGGGCGCTGGAGACCGAGCCGTTAGGTTGTGCCCCATTAACGGAGGCTAGCAGCCGCCAAGCATGCGGCCCGGGTTTGTGTCCGACATGTGGATCCTTTCCCGCATGTGGTTTTCTATTTCTTTTCGAGTGTGACCTTAACTTGACTTAAATGTGCATGCAAACTGATAACCGGTATTAAAGGCAGGGTCGATCATTTTCAAAAACTAGCATGATTTTGAAAGTAGCATTCCCTCAGTGCTTCGTCTGCACCCACCCCCTCCCCTCTGTGCTCCCTCAAAAGCCACGCCCCCTCACTTACATGCACAAGCGGCGTTGGTCCAGAAGCAGACCTCAGCTCATGCTTTGAGTGTGGGCTAGTGCACGCATGGGGTAGAGAACGAGCAGGGAAACAGGGAGGTGTCTGATTGGTTCATCAGATTGGTACCTCGTGGCAGACATTGGTCGAAGTTTTAACAGGATTACAACTGCTACAGATGATGGATTTTCAGAGCTAACCACTGCACCACCATGCAGCCTCAGCTGTGTTTTGTTCCTGTAAATATATGAATATGTTTATGTTGTGTCATTGTGCCTCATTCTTGTCAGGACTGAGGTGGGTAAATATGCCATCTACTGCCTGCGCTCCATGGAGCGGACTCAGCAGAAAGGAGAGAGGCAGGGAAGACCGTCCCGAATGGAGATCCTGTCCATCCTGCTGAGGAACCCCTACCATCACTCTCTGCCCTTCAGCGTGCCCGTCCACTTCCTCAACAACACCTACCAGGTACACACACACACACACACACACACACACAGATCTCTAATGAATGGTGGATGACTCATCTTCAAGTACTCTAGTTGTACAAAAGTCTTTGTATAAACGTTCCTTCCTCTTTAACTTCCTCCTAAAAGGTCAAAGGTCCCTCAGGTGGGTTCAGCCCACAGGAGAATAGATTCTTGTGTCCGTCTGAAGCAGACACTCGCGGTTATGAAAAGTTCAACACCTCTTGTGTTTGTCTTCTTTACGTTTCCTCTCGCTGTTCCTCCTCTATCCTGATAATTCGGTGCACACAGCACAGGGGGCCCTCATTGGCCAACAGAGCTGTCAATCATATTACATTCTTTTTTTTTTATATGGTGAAATAGCTGATTAAGACTAAACTTCTCAGAGACGTGAACACTGGATATCCACACTGGACATAAATCAGCACGATGAGAACTAAATGTATGTTTTGTTTCCTTTGATTTTACTGTTTGACCCATGTCCTATATGTTTACATTGAGGAGGCGGAGCTTGTGAACGCTACGGCAACCTGTTTTGGTTTCACTTCTTTTAAGGAGCTGTCGGACCGTCCACCTGTCTGTGTAGTTTCTGGGAACAACACAGGACAAAGGGTGAAGCCTGCTGAGCTAACTTGTGCTAACATGAATGTTGCTGTTAAATCTCACCGTTGATTAACTGTCATACTGCACAGCTCCACCCCACCTTTCACCTACCTGTTTACATCTCTCTCTTTCACTGGAAGTCAATTCAATTCATAAAACTTTATTTGTCCCCAGGGGGCAATTCATGACATCATAGCCTGAACACAGAGTTTCACTTCTGCGTTTAAGGAAGTCAAACGCAAAATCTAAACCATGACAGCTGCCTTCACTTCTCAGAGTGTATAGATCCAGTCTGTTTCAAGCTACAGATATCTTCTAAATGTAATTGATGAGTCTCTCTTTTACTCCTCATAAAGGAGACATTTTGCTTTTCAGGTTGTTGCTCCTAAACTTTGGGACAGTCTCACGCTGGAACAGAGATCTGTGAAGCAGTTGAAGCTGTTTGTTCAGACTTGCCTTTGTTTGATTTGTCTGTTATTATGTAATTATCTGTGTTTAATGGATTTTATTTTGATCTTTTATTGTGTAGCACTAAAAGTTGCTAAAAAATAAACTTGACTCACTCACTTATAATCTTAGATCTCAGGATCTTTTCTTAATGTCTGTTCTAAAAGTCGGAACTGAACTGAAGGAAAAAGATGTTTAAAGGCTGTGACACACCGTGGAGATGGTCGGCCAGGACCGACAGTGAGCGGTCGTCGCCCTAGTTGTTGGCCATCGGCTGTAGTCTTTGCGGTGCGTTCAAGTGCAATTTTTTGGCCAAGACAAAGGCGATGTGAGTCGACGCCACAGTTGGTCTTCGTCAACACTAGTTCATCTGCTTGTTGTGTCAGGGCCTTTACTTGGTACAAGGCACAAAAAGAGCTGAGACTTAACGAGCTGCTTTCATTGGACGATTTAAAGAGGACGTTAAATGACTTGGAGGTGGACACATCTGGCTGCAGATGTTCTGCCTAATGTGTTTGTTATTTTGTGTCTTTTAAAGTTTTATAATGACGTATCTTTAATGTTTTTGAATGTGTGGCTGCTCGTTGTCAGAACGCGTTTTCCTGGTCTAATAAAACGTTTTGAGTGTGGGACATCAGAGGAAAAATGTGAATCTAGAAAAATCTCTGAATGTAAGTTAAGAGCTTCTGATTGTTCTCATTTCTGTCACGTCGTCGTCTTTGTTCAATATCTACAGGTGGTGAGCTTTGATGCTTCGACCACGGTGGATGAGTTCCAGTCTCGTCTGAACCAAGACACCAGCATGAGGAAGACCGGTCTCTCCGGGTTCAGTTTGTACACCGACGACCCGACGGGGCGCGAGCTCGAGCACTGCCTGCAGGGAGGCGTCAAGGTGCATCTTCTACTCGTCCGACTTTCTGATGATAAAAGATATGAGAGATTCTTCATGTCTTCTTCATGTCCTCTGCAGATTTGTGACATTATCTCCAAGTGGGAACAAGCTTCGAAGGAGCAGCACACGGGCAAATCAGAGAACACCCGGACGGTGCGCCTCACCTACAAGAACAGGTACGTTCCTGTTCTTCACCTTGATCCTGATCCACAGAGGGGTCACAATCAGACCTGACCCGGATCACCTCACTTCTCTCAGGTTCAGAGTTTCTACATGCAGGGAGGTTTGTTTTAGCAGGATCTAAAGGAAGTTAAAATAAAGATTTCCACCTTGTGAACTCTAAAAGCTCATTTTCAGTATGTGGGGTGAGTTCACAGAGGACCTTAAGCGGATTTGGCCTCCATTAAACCTGCAAGTCAGACAATCTTGGTCCAAACTGTTCTGCAGATCAGTGGTCAGCGTAGTCAGAGTGATAGATTTATTGTCTGCAGAGATTAGAGAGTGCAGAGTGTTTACTGTCACAGAATATAAATGAAGTATCCAGCTCTGATGTGTGAGAATGAGTCTCTTTCCTACCATCACTCTCACTCAAGGCTTTGTGGCAGAAACCCTCATCCACACCTTAATTCACCTTTTGTCTGGATTACTGTAATGTAGTCCTGTCTGGGGTAACCAGCAAGTTCCTATATGTCCAAAACTCTGCTGTCAGAGTCCTCACCCACACCAAGCCCTGGCAGCACATAACCCAAACCCTCATCCACCTCAACTGGTTCCCAATTAGATCCACAATCAGATACAAAATACTCCTCATCAAATCCCTACATGCCCTCGCCCCCCAGTGCTTCTCCGACCTCCTACACCCACACACCACGTCCTGAAACCTCCGGTCCTCGGACACTGGCCTTTTCTTCATCCAGACACAAAAGGCCTTTAGTGCCACAGCCCCCACTCTCTGGAACAGTCAGACATCCACGATGCTCCATCTTTAGTCTAATTCAAAAGACTAAAAAGTCTGTTCTGAATACAACCTCAATACTACCTTCAATTTGTAGCCCACTCATCAGAAACTGGTCCCCTCTTTCTCCTCCACATCTCCTCTCATCTTACAAATCATCAGGAACACAACCAAACAGAGAGTTGAATGTCTGTCTGTCTGTCTGTCTGTCTGTCTGTCTGTCTGTCTGTCTGTCTGTCTGCAGGTTGTACTTCTCTCCCCAGGTGAGGGGGGAGTCTGAGAGGGAGAGGCTGCTGCTGGCTTATCAGACAAACGAGGCCATCGTAGCGGGACACTTCCCCGTCAACAAGGAGCTCGCGCTGGAGATGGCCGCCCTGCTGGCTCAGGTCTGACACTTATTAATGCACACCTTTTTTCACATGAGAGTTTAAAAAACTTGTGTTTTCGATTAAGGAAATTCTTTTTTTTTTTTTTTTTGCTTTTTTGGGAGTTCAGGTGGAGTTTGGGGATTTTGAGCGTCCATTCTCGGCTCCAGGATCAGCCCAGACCAAGTCCAACCAGACCCTGAAGCAGGTTCTGGACAGATTTTACCCCAAGCATTATCGCAGGAGCACGTCTGAGGAGCAGCTCAGGTACGAGACTGAGACTGCTGATGCTCTTCCTGCATCAGCTTTTAGTTTTCAGGTTTTAAATGTATGCATGTGAAAGAGAGTTAAGACACTACAATGGAACATAAAGTCGTCTTTTCTAAAGTGATCCAGCATGAAAAGAAGTCCTCTCTCTCCTCCTCAGACTGCTGCTGCAGCGTCTCTCCGCCCGCTGGGCCTCTCTCAGGGGTCGGACTCCATCAGAGTGCGTCAGGATCTACCTGACGGTTGCCAGGAAGTGGCCTTTCTTTGGAGCCAAATTATTTGAAGCAGAGGTACATGACCATTCATCACATCATCAGCCGAGATCAAAGCTCTAATGCTGCAACTTATTTTGATTATTTTTTATCACTCAGGTTTAAATAGAAACTTGTAAAAACATGTCAACTAACTTACAAAGGGAACACAACACAGAAAGGGCTGACGGGTATGATGATGTCACAGCCGGTGTGTGCACAGAGCAGGCTGCAGGGGGATTGAACCGCACTCTTTGTTGTTCATGTGATGATGCTGAAAGGCTCCTGAATGTGTTAAAAATCATCATCCTAACTGTGGTGGCGGTGAATCAATCAGTTAACCTCATAAAGGCTGAAAATCAACAAAGCTGCAGGGACAACTACATGGCAATTCAGTTTCATTTAATCAATCAAACCTTCTCAACTAGGGCAACGACCGCTCACTGTCGGTCCTAGCCGACCATCTCCACGGTGTGTCACAGCCTTTAAACATCTTTTTCCTTCAGTTCAGTTCCGACTTTTAGAACAGACATTAAGAAAAGATCCTGAGATCTAAGATTATAAGTGAGTGAGTCAAGTTTATTTTTTAGCAACTTTTAGTGCTACACAATAAAAGATCAATATAAAATCCATTAAACACAGATAATTACATAATAACAGACAAATCAAACAAAGGCAAGTCTGAACAAACAGCTTCAACTGCTTCACAGATCTCTGTTCCAGCGTGAGACTGTCCCAAAGTTTAGGAGCAACAACCTGAAAAGCAAAATGTCTCCTTTATGAGGAGTAAATGAGAGACTCATCAATTACATTTAGAAGATATCTGTAGCTTGAAACAGACTGGATCTATACACTCTGAGAAGTGAAGGCAGCTGTCATGGTTTAGAAAAGGACATTGAGGTGTTCCTCTTTTCCAACACCGTCGAGATTACAAGCACATTAAAACAAGCAAAACACAACAAACACTTAAAATCAATTAGAAAAACCACTGAGATCAAATTCCCAAACTCTCCAAGAGAGGGCAGAACTCTGATCTTTAGAGTTTGCTGGAGGGCGCTCCATGAGTTTGGGGCATTCAAAGAAAATGCTGTTTTACCGAGTTCAGTAAAAGCTTGAGTGTCTTTAAGAAGAACGGGTCATGTAGGTGCTGGAATTCCACTCCAACAGGTCTGTGATGGTTACACCTCTCTTCAAGAGAAGGCCGATCGACCTCTCATACAGCTCACAGTGACGAGTGCAGAATAGATCAGCAGTTATACCTGAGGGTGGAGTGATAGACGGTGTGCAGAGGCTTTACAGGGGAAGCTGCAACATGTCTATAAATGAACTCGCTGTCATACAGTTCCAACAGTTCTTTTTCTGCACAATGAAGGAGAACCTGATTTGTTTCTGTACAACTCTCTGTCGTTTATTTCTCTGTGTTTTATTATGAACATGTATTTGTGTTTGATCTGACCACCTCGTCTCTCTCTCTCTCTCTCGCTCTCTCTGTTTTCAGTCAGTCACTGCATCTCCTCAGCAGGATGAGCGTGTGTGGCTGGCCGTGCACGAGGATGGGATCAGTGTCCTGGAGCACAACTCTGTGGTCAGCATCTCTTCCTTCACTTATATTTAGATGAGATAGAAGCTTATAAATCCTGGAGGAGATTCTAGCGTCAGATTGCTGCAAAAATTACAGTAAAACACTTACAGTAACACAACAGAGCCTCAAATATAACCTGTGTTTGCACTCTGATGAATCATGAAGAAAATGTGTAAAATGATTGAGTCACAAACTAAACTGTTAATCTCCATGTGAAGCCGTCTCTCTCTCTCTCTCTCTCTCTCTCTCTCTCTCTCTCTCTCTCTCTCTCTCTCTCTCTCGCACATGCGTAAGTGTTTGCTGAGCGGTAGGAGAGTGTGTTGGAGTGAATGAGGTTTCGTCTTTTTTTCCATTAAGGTTTGAGAAACTGTTTCTTTTCACTGGTGATAGTTTACACACTGTTCACACGTCTTTCTAATCACTATCGGGGTTCACGGGGGGTGATCGGTGTGCTGCACGGCAGCAGCCGGTAGCCTACCTGGCTGTGTGTCATGGCAGGTAGCAGGCCCAGTGCCAATGCTTCTGGGGGTTTCACAAACCTCTCCCGTCGGCACGGAATTAAAGTACCGGTCAGCGTGGAGCACTCAGTGGAGGATTGTAGTCTGGCAGTTGGGGAGGTCGTCGGGTATGATAGTTTAAGGGCTGCGTCCAGGATGAACAGCGCAGTTGTGATTTTTTTTGGACTCAATTGAAAAAGTAAACTTTGTTGTTGAGCGAGGAATTGTTGTTAAAAACACGCATGTCACCGTTTTTCCTCTCACTAATCCAGCGAAAAAAATCATATTGTCTAACTTACCACCATTTATCAGTAATGAGGTGTTGGAAAGGGAGCTTTCACGTCATGGACAGATTGTGTCGGCAATGAAAATGCTCCCGTCAGGATGTAAATCCAGCAGACTGAAACATGTTGTGTCTTTCAGGAGACAACTCTACATGATCCTGAAGAATGATAGTGATGCGCTGAATGTGGTCATGAAATTTAAAGTAGAAGGGTTTGATTACACAATTTTCGCATCAACACAATCTATGAAATGTTTTGGCTGTGGGCAGGAAGGGCACCTGGTGCGGAATTGTCCAGAAAAGGCTCGTGAGCCAAAGGCGGAGGCAGAGCCAGAGGCAGAGGCTGCTCCGAGCACGGAGGATGAAGGGGGTGCAGAGGTGGGGAGTCAGGAGGACAGTGAAGGGGTGCAGAGGGAGACACCAGCTGAGGGGTCTGAAACACAACCGGATGGAGAGTGTGCAATCACCTCTGCTGAAGCGTTTGTGAATCAGAGTCAGACTAGTGTAGAAGGAGAGGAGCTGGAACAAATGAACATTGATGAGGTGATACATGATGTTGGGGAAAAAACAGTGGGAGGTGATGAAGATTTGTTTAAAGTGCCAAAATTAAAGAGGAAAGCACAATCTAAAGGAGCGACACCAAAGAAAATGCCTTTAATAAAGGAAAAGACAAGATTGCAAGAAAGTGATTCAGAAGACGCTTCAAAGTGGTTGATGAGAAAGAAGGGTGATACTTGTCTTAAAGACACAGAGGTGTACCGCCTCAGAAAACTGGTGCAGAAGGTAAAGACACTAATTACTAATGAAGCAAAAAAGTGAAGGGCAGGAAACAGTATGTTCTGCATATTTTTCCATTCTGTTCAGTGTGTGTTTAATTATGAGTAGTTTCAAAATTTCATCTTTAAATCTTAACGGAGCAAGAGATGTTAAAAAGAGAACTATGTATTATGAACTTTTAAAAACTAAGTGCATTGATATTGCTTTTGCTCAAGAAACTCACAGTAATAATGATAATGAAGTTGAGTGGAAGAGAGAATGGGATGGAAATATCTTTTTGAGTCATAAGAGTAGTTTGAGTGCAGGCGTGGCAATTCTTTTCTCAAAGAACTTTGTGCCTGTGTCTGTAGACTCAGAGGAGGTCGTTCAGGGCAGGTTACTGAAAGTGACTGCCAGATATGAAAAATCCACGCTCACTTTGTTAAATGTGTACACTCCAGTAAATCCAACTGAAAGATGTCTTTTTCTTGACAAATTAGCCAGCACCCTTTCAGGATGTGTTTCAACTGATTTTTTTATATTAGGAGGAGACTTTAATTGCACTGTTGATGATTTGGACAGGAATCATATGGAACCTAATGCTCAGTCAAGGAACATTTTGAAACGTATTATTGAAACGTATGAACTGACAGATGTGTGGCGCTCCAAACATGGGAACAATAGACAGTATTCATGGGCACATGCTAGAGATAATTACATCTCTTCTGCCAGGTTAGACAGATTTTATTGCTTTGAACACCAATTACAAATATTCAAATCTTGTTTCTTGTGTCCAGTGGGTTTTTCAGATCACTGTTTGTTAATCGGAAATGTTTTTATAAATGGAGTCAAACCAAAAAGTGCATATTGGCATTTTAATACGGTTTTAACAAATGATGGTCACTTTAGAAAATCTTTCAATTTTTTTTGGAAACAGTGGCAGTCTAGGAAATCTCAGTTTACATCTTTACAGCAATGGTGGGATATTGGTAAAATACAAATTCAGCAGTTTTGTAATCAGTACACTTTTAATGTCACAAGAGAGGTCACACAATCTGTAAAACATCTAGAGACTGATATTGTGGAACTCCAGACTTTAGGTGGATCCACAGGAGATGGAGGCCACATTAAGGCACTCAAATCCAAAAAAGCTGCTTTGGCAGATCTGCTGGGGATAAGAGCACAGGGGGCGTTAGTCCGATCACGTTTTCAAAATATCTCTGAAATGGATGCTCCATCCAAGTTTTTCTTCAATCTAGAAAAGAAAAATGGTCAGAATCGACTCATCCACTGTATCAGATCTGCTGATGGAAGAGATCTCACTGACTCAGCTGAAATCAGGAAAAGAGCTGTGGACTTCTTCTCAAACCTCTACAACAGTGAGTACAGAGAGAACGTGCTGATGTCAGAGCAGTTTTTGTCTGACTTACCACAGATATCAGAAGGGGATAATGCAGAACTGTCACGCCCACTCACACTGCAAGAGCTGCAGGAGGCGCTGATGAGTATGGAAAACGGCAAAGCTCCAGGAGTAGATGGTCTCCATGTCTACTTTGTCTACTTTGGGAGACGATTTGTTAGAGGTCATAAATGACAGTGTTTCTGGAGGGAAACTACCTCTGAGCTGTCGAAGAGCGGTCCTCACTCTCCTGCCTAAAAAAGGTGACCTTTGTGAAATAAAGAACTGGAGACCAGTAAGTCTGCTTTGTGCAGATTATAAAATCTTTTCCAAAGTGTTGGCCAATAGATTAAGAAAAGTGATGGAGCAAGTAATACGTGTTGATCAGTCATACTGCATCCCTGGCAGATCAATTAGGGACAATATATCCCTCATTAGAGATTATTTGGAAGTCTCTAGCTCGTTAGATGTTAAATTTGGTCTGATTTCTCTTGACCAAGAGAAGGCATTTGATCGGGTGGAGCATAAGTATTTGTGGAACACCTTTGAGGCTTTTGGTTTCTCCCCCAGTTTTATTGCCTTGATGAAAACTCTGTATTGTGATATTGAAAGTGTATTGAAGGTTAATGGTGGTTTAAGCGCTCCTTTTAATATCAATAGAGGGATTCGGCAGGGCTGTGCAATGTCTGGCATGCTTTATTCTATAGTCATTGAACCCATGTTGTGTCAGATAAGAAAACAGTTAACAGAGTTTAAATTAAAGGAGAATCTTATACCCATGCATCTGTCAGCATATGCAGATGACATCATGGTTGCTGTAACAGGTAATAGTGATGTCAAAAAGCTTATTCACATCACAGAGTGCTTTGGGGAAATTTCCTCCTCGAAGGTAAACTGGGGTAAAAGTACAGCCTTGTTAGTAGGAAAATGGCGAGGGAATGAACCAAGGTTACCTGATGGTTTTAAATGGGTGACGCATGGCATCAAGTATCTAGGTGTTTTTTTAGGATGTCAGTCTGAGGTTCAGAAAAACTGGGAGGGTGTGATTGAGAAAATGGAGGGCAAATTAAAGAAATGGCAGTGGCTTTTACCATGAATGTCCTATAGGGGGCGCACACTTATTATTAACAAGCTAGTGGCCTCCACCCTGTGGCATCGCCTGTCAGTGTTAGAACCTCCAGCAAACCTGTTAATGAAACTCCAGAGTATCATTGTAAACTTCTTTTGGGATAGATTACACTGGGTACCACAGAGTGTTTTATTTTTGCCTAAAGAGGAAGGAGGACAGGGATTGGTTCATCTGGCAAGTAGGAAGGCAGCTTTTAGACTGCAGGTCCTACAAAGCTTTCTTTATGGACCTCTAAATTTACCCTGGAGACACGTGGCTGAGTTTATCTTTGGTCTTGTTGGTCATTTAGGATTTGGAAGAAACATGTTTCTTATGAACTGTGCAGAGTTGAATCTGAGTTGTTTGCCATCATTTTATGTGAGTGTTATTAAAATGTGGGGGCTGTTGGAAACTGGGCGTCTGGGCTCAAACACATCCTTGCATTGGCTGTTGAAGGAACCTATACTGAAGGGCTCTCGGTTGGGCACTTCATTGGAAGAGGCGCTGATGACATCTGGAACTCTGACAAATAAAGGAATAACTACAGTCCAACATCTGTTAGAACTGGCTGGAGCTAATTTGGATAATGCTGTAACCGTGGCGAGGAGACTGGAGGTCAGATCGATTCGAGTGGTCGGGCTGATGCTGGAGAAATTCAGAAAGGCGCTGTCAGAAGAGGACAGAGTTCTCCTACAGAAATGGTTTAACGGACAACTGAAACCTGAGGATTGTGACTGTTTTCCCAGGATGTGTGTGAGGTCAAAGTATGAAGGACTTGGCCCTCTGGAAGAGAGCAGTAAGGTTTGGATGCCTTTGGACTCTGTGAATGGGAAAACACTTTATCAGGGATGTGTCAAGGGGTTAAATAAAGAGAAACTTAAAGGTAGAGCAGACACACCATGGAGAAAGTATTTCAAAGTAAAATCTGAGGTCAAACCTGCATGGAGCATGCTTTACAAACCACCGTTAACAAAAAGTACTACTGATTTACAGTGGCGTATTTTACATGGAATTGTGGCTGTTAATGCTTTTGTTTCTGTGTTGAATCCTGCTGTCTCAGATAATTGCCCCTTTTGCTCTGAACGAGAGACAATTTTTCATTGTTTTTTACAGTGTTCTAGATTGAGGTCTCTTTTTGGGATACTGAATACTCTCGTAATGTCCTATGGAGAACATTTTACTGACCTCATGTTCATTTTTTGGTTTCTCTTACAGTAAAAAAAAGAAGAAAAAAGGTCGGCTGCTGAATTTCCTTTTTGGTCAAGCAAAGTTGGCAGTTTATCTCAGTAGAAAACAAAGAATGGAAAGAGGACAGAGATGTGATTGTGTAGTGGTGTTTCGGAACCTTGTTAAATCTCGAATATTGTTGGAATACAAGTATTATTTTAAAATGGAAGAGCTGGATGTTTTTGAAAAAATATGGGACGATGATGGTGTACTCTTTTCTTTGAAAGACTCTGAAATCATATTTGCAGATGTTTTCATATAAATCCATATTTTTTGTGACATATTGTAGTTTGTGACGGGGGAATGTAAATACATTTTTATCTGAATAAATGAAGTTTTAAAAACTCAAAACTCTCTCTCTCTCTCTATCTCTATCTCTCTCTCTCTCTCTCTCTCTCTCTCTCTCTCTCTCTCTCTCTCTCTCTCTCTCTCTCTCTGTGTGTGTGCAGAAGCCGCTGGTGTCCCACCCCTACAAGACCCTGATGACGTTTGGGGGCTGCAGACAGGACTTCATGCTGGTGGTGGGACAGAGCATGGCGACCAACGGCAGCAAGGACAAACCGACAGAGAAGCATCTGTTTGCTATGGATGCCTCCAAGGTGAGAGAGAGAGAGAGAGAGAGAGCTGTGGCTCTACATGAGATCTACAAAGGGACAAAGCCAGCCTTTATCTTTGGAGGGCAGTTATACTTGGCAGCTATCTTAGATTTAAGCCTAAACTCCACCATGGTTCCCCGAGCCAGCTCCCCCCTGTGCATGCCTTGGCTCCAAAATATGTCGCATACGTCTCAATATGTCAGCGCCTGTTGTTGGGTTTGTTTTGGCTTCACTTCTGTACGTCAAAAGGAGACAACGACGAGCTGTCCATAATAATGTACAGTCAGGTAGTTTGCCTTAATCAGTAAGTACATTTACATTTGACCTTTTCCTCTTCTGTTTTGTTTGGTCAACAGATCCGTGAGATCACTCTCCTCATCTCCAGTTACGTCAACAGCGCTCACCAGCAGAAGGCCGCCGCCCACCACCTCTCTGCCCCCGCCCTCATGGTCGCTCAGCCCGTCAGTCTCAAGAGCAAAGAGCTGAGGAGCAAATCCCCCCCAGCCCTGGGACGCCCCAGCAAGGCCCCCACACTGCTGTGATGGGACGCAGACAAAATCCATGTTTTAAATGAAATGAAGGCTGCAGACACGTCCTGAATGTGAGTCTCAGTGGGTCAGATTCACTCCGTCTATGAATAATGGTCTCTCTCAGGGGGACTTTAACCTTTAACATCTATTTTTACATATTTCTGTTTGAAATGACTAAAGATACAAAAAGGTTTTGGTATTGCAGCACTCACAGGATGCATCAGGAATCATGGAGGAAAGGATCAAAATTCGTCCACTAAAAGTTCTGACAACATTACAGAAAAGATTCCTGCAAAGAGAGACCTTTTAGTTTAAGAGGAAGATTCTCTTCTTGACCAGAAACAGCTGGAAACATCCCTCTCTTTAAGAATCCAGTCATTTATTCTCACGGAGCAAAGCACATGAGTTCTTGATCTTCCACTGCTTCAACAATTTGATTAGCATTACGTTGTTATTGTGCTTCATTCAAACTAAACTTTAGAAACAAAGTCAAACAAACCAACATTAAAAACTAGAGCCCGACCGATAAATCAGCAAGCTGATAATATCGGCCGATATTAGCTTATCCAGTGACTATCAGTATCGGCTGATTTTATCTCAGATATGCGCCAACTACTCGATTCACCAGCCAGACAGCTTTTCATTTGAGTTTCTGTGTATTACACTAGCAGTTCTCTTTCACCAGTAGAGGACGCTATATGGATTACAACAAACATCATCACTCTCCAGATTGTCGAGCGGTGACGCACGTTCATGCTCAGTTACTTTCCAGTGGAGTAACCTTCTTGTCTTTATTATAAATCTTTTCCAACAAGTGTTTGATAACTGCATATGGGGGATTATATCCACACCTTTCTTGACAGATTGAACATAGATCTAAGAAAGATATTGGCTGACATATCGGTATCTGATTTTTTTGTCTTGCAAATATCGGTATTGGCTCCAAAAATCACATATCAGTCGGGCCTTAATAAAAATGAACTGGTTGAGGTACTGGCAGACCAAAAACTACACTTGATGTTTTTGTCTGTGGAGTCTGGTAGTCTCTGAGTTTTGTTTGTGTTTTTATTTGTAACAAAATATTCTGTTCTTATAAAACCAGCCCTTTTAGCAGAGGATTCCTATCCCCTGGGGACCTCTGGTGATTTGTTGCAGAGGTCGTCTGTGAGTCGGCCAACATGTCAGACAAAAATACAAAGGACAAAATAACTGATGGTCTCACCCTCCAGAATTAACAGAATCACTTTCCTCTAAGACACCGGACTCCAGAAGAAAGTTGCTGATCTACCTCCCCATCAGGCAGATAGTTTCTTAAATTTATATCCCCACACCTGCCTGTTTGACTTGTTTGCAGTATGGGCCATTTGCATAGAGAGTTGTTGGGTTTTTTTTACCCGAGAGCACACACACATATACACGCTGGGTCTGATTCATAAAAGGATTGTGTGTTTGTGCATGATAAACCTGTGCAACTGAGACGTAAAGACACGTCTAATTCACAAAATACACGCAAACTGTCTCTGTGGTTGACCTGTGACCCGTACAGGGTGTAACCCCGCCTCTCACCCTGTGACAGCTGGGATTGGTTACAGCCCCCCGTGACCACAAGTGGGAAAAAGCGTGATAGATAATGATTGGATGGATGGACATGCAAAGGGTTAAATGCTCCTCTAGAAGCTTCAGAGCAAACAGCCTCTCTGTGCTGCTTAGATGTACTATCCCTGGAAAAGTCCTCGTTGTGGACATACAGCTGTTCAGTGTTATACATCATTGTAATATGATGAAGGAGACTGAACACTACGATGAGAGACGGAGGCATCTGAAACGTCCGTTTGTGTGCAGGGAGACAGCACTGTGGAACGCCTGCAGGAAGAAGAAACCAGTCTGTGGCTGTAGTTACTGATTGGCCAGCAGAGAGGTGGAACTTTGATCCTGCAAAAACACTTCACACCTTTGTGGTGAAGGAGAACTGAAGCAAGTCGTGCATTCTGCATTTTATATGACAAAGCTCTAGAGAAGTAAAGCAGGGTCATGTTTATTTATGCTAATATGAGGTGAGAGGAAGTGACAGGTGGTTATCGGAAATGTACGCTGGTCTTAGAGAACTACAGCATGTCCTGTTGAAGGGGAACTGGAATTTTATGTACGGTACTTTAAGCAGATGTTTGTTCCTTCCAGTGTTCTCTCTCCGGCCTGAACTAAGCGGCATGTTTCATATTTATTTGTTTTATTAAAAAAAATAATAATAATGGAATAAATAATTATTTTAAGAGTCAACAATAAACTACAGAAAGCACACGGCTTGTTTCATCCTTTCTTTCCACCTAAAACCACTGCACTCATTTTTTCCGGCTTCACTTCAGTTTCTCCTCCACAGACCCGCCTCCTGCCTCCTGATTGGTCGACGGGATCTGACGTGCTGATACCTGCAGCAGGTAGCTGACAGTGAGTGACGCACCCTCATTCCTGAAGTCACACAACAGAGAGAGCGGGAGTGGGAGAGCGAGAGGAGGGGGGAGGGGCGGTATATGATACCTGACCTGTCTGAACTAGTTAGAGACGTGCTTTTGTCCATGTTGCCATGGAGACGAGGAGGGGGAGGGAGGGGGGACAAAAGGGTGAGGCAACAAAAAATGTACTCAATAATAGACTAATGACTTTTAATAATGTGCTCCATCGGAAACTTTAGGAATATAAAGTCAAACAAAGTCCAAGTGAAATCAAAAGCTACTTTGTTCTTCTAAAGTCAAGTGAAAGGTCGTTCACGGTCTTCTCGGTGTCGTCAAATTCCTTCCTGTGTTTTGAATAGTAAAGAACAAACGGTCACTTCTGTGCAGAGGTTAAACAGGAACGTTCCCACCTGAAAGGCTGCGCTCAGCTCAGGCGCAGACAGAACAGCGTGATCATGTTGTGACAGGTTACACAATGACACTTTACCTCCACAGATCCTCACAGTGTCAGGGAGCCACTTTGAAAGAACAGAGATTTGTCAAACTTCCTGCACAGATAATCTACCTGAGGGAGACGTGTTTCCCAAAACTGCTGAGGAAAAGAAAGTCACATAAACGCTAAAGAGTGTTTAACAGGCCTCACATGAACAAAGCATATACAGATATCACTATTTAGTGGGGAAGTTTGAGTCCATCAGGTAGTGTTGTAGTCAAGACCGCACTAACCGAGACTAAGACATACCTGAGACCTGAGTGCTCCGAGACCAAACCAAGACATTTAAGGATCGAGACTGAGTACAGACCAAGACAGGGCGAACCCAGGAGCATAAATATGTCTGAAAAATAACCATCCAGTGTGCAGCGGGCGTGACCCTCACTTTAACAGCAGGAAGGTTGCAGCCGTAACTGGGCGATAAAAATCAAACTACAAATTAATTGAAGTGATTTGCACTTTTAGAAAGAGAGTGTTCATTCTAATCACAGTAATGACTTGAAAAATAGTCTTTCAGTGGTGGTGTTGACTGGTCATGTTTTAAAATCCAGAGTAGACCGAGTAAAAATAGTTTTGATTCTGAGACTAGTCCGAGACCTTCAAAAAGTGTTCTTGAGACCTAGACTGATTTTGAGGACAAGCTGACTTCAAAGATGGAGTGTAGACTCTAGAGGGTTTCTCCCAGTTTGCATGCACTTCTAAACTCTCTGTTGTAAATGGATGTTTCCCTTCATTTCTGGAGATAAGACGACGAGAGAGGGAGAGACATAAAAGGTCTGAAAGTATCTTAGGATACAACATTAAACACATAAAATGAAGGGGGGGCAGTTAGCCAGATTTGGGACAAATAACCATAATTGGGTTACAGCACTGGTCACCTCATGGACCTTTCTTTGAGCGGTCAACCCAGGCAGCTCCCACACGGCTGGTGCATTATACACAGAGGGGTCCGGGCTCTTGGCATCGCTCCCCAGAGACCCAGACGCTGTGAAACACATCAAAAGTATCTCAGCTGTTGGCAAAGCTTCACTACCGACCTTCAGGTTCTGGCACCACTATCCTCCAAACCACTATGGACTGAAGGGTACTCAAAGAACTCTGCGTCAAATCTAAGGGTCATTAAGATTAGAGAACAGGACTATAAGGTCCCATACCCGTTTGACCTGGTTTCATGAAGGAGCCCAGAGATTAAACCCCTCAAAAGGCCGTTAAGGTGACTGTGGTGCTTGCGGTGCTTTCACGCATCCACAAAGCTCCCGAGTACGTCCTGACATTTTCAAGGAGAGTTGCATGTGTCAACACAAACAGCTGATTTTTTCAAGTCGACCCGCTGGTGCACTTTCCGGTTGGAGTCGGTAGATTCAGTAGCTTTTTCCTAAAAAATAAAAAAGAGACTTGCACTAAAGTGATATCAATCATCCCTACTGGGCCTCCATACAGGTGTGGTGTGTTTCCCCCAGCCAATGACAGCGCACAGGTGAGTTAAGGAGCTGACACAATGCAGCGTTTGGATGCGATTTCCAACCAGTGAATTTGACGCACTTGGACGTAGCGGCAAAGAAGAGAAAATATATTCACAGTGAGGAGAAACCCCAAGTGGATAAAGCTTGTTCTAAAACGAGGGTGAACCTTGTGTTTTTCTGCTTCTTGTTGGAGAGGCGAGTGAAAAATGCCGGTGGTTAGCTCGCGGTAGCAAGTAAACATTCACACTGGCCCTTTTCAAATTGTCACAGTTCAGTATGCAGTACGTACTATTCAGTATGGAGTTTCAGTATACTGAACTCTCGTGGTCATTCAGTATGCATTTTTTGGGTACACCTCAGTATACTGAACATTTCAGTATGGATACTAACTTCCGGGTTTCATGCAGTATGGATCGGATGCGTGCTTACAGGAAATGAATTGTATTTTACCACCCACAATGCTGTGCGAAATTAAACGTAAATCGTCACTTCACGTGCGCCTCCAAATCAAAACAAACGAGCATTGATTAATTTAATCTTAATTTAAAGTCCCGACTGAAATCGCTACTTTAAATTAACAACAGAAAATAAAACAAATATCTGCGTTATTATAAAAAAACAGGTAGATGCGGCCGGTTTGGGAAATGTAAATGACGTCACTTTCTTACTGAATGAATCAGACGAAGTAGGAACAAATGTCTGCTTACTGTGTGTGCATACTGAATAGTAGGTACTAAACAGCATATAGCACGGATAGTAGGTACTGCCTACTGACAGATTGAGTAGGTACTTGGCAATTCAGATGCAGCCACTATTACCTGCAGTGAGTGTACATTTCCATGGGCAGTGAACCCAGGAGGAGGAGGGGCCCAGTTTGAATGTTGTGTTTTAAAGCTGCTGCTGACTCCTCCTTTAAGTCAGTGTTTTTATCCTGTTTCTAGAATTCTTGTGGACATTAATTGCATTCTTGAAACTCTGACTTAAGTCTGTTCAAGTTATCACATTAATAAACTTTGCTAGCTTTAGTATCGCTCTACATCGTAACCTACTCATGGTGAATATCTACCTTTGTGTTGTCCCACAGTTCATGATTAACACCTCGTTGCTCTGCTTTGACTTTTCACCTGACTTGTGATCAAAAGCTGCTGCAGTGCTTTAAGTCTGTGTGTGTGTGTTTGTTGTGTACATACTGCGTGTGTGCATTTGTGAGTGAGCCAGAACCAGACCGACAGGTTGGACGCAATGCCAAACAGTTTCAGACACACATCTCCAAATTACTAACCTCCTCGCTCTGCAATGACTAACAGGTGTTGTCTCAAAGCAGGAAGTCACACAGTATCTACTGTTCAGATGACAAAGTATTTATCCAGTCAGGGTGTCAAAGCTTTCAGTATTAAGCTAAAACCTCCATTATTTAAAGATCAATGGAATCAAAAAGCCAAATCCTATAAAAACACTTCATGTTGAACAGAAGAGGAATGAATCCATCAGAAGTGTCCAAATACCTGCATACCGACTGAATTCCACAAACATTTCAGTACTGAAACATTGCCTGTGTTTGCTCAATTTAGGCAGGAGTGTGCTGATTGTGACATAACGGGCATAACAGTTAATCTCACAGGGGCTGACGTCGATGACATAATAAAACAAAAGTTTCTTATCATTTTAAGAAGGGGGGGGGGCTTACATGTTGAAACAGGCATCATTTTAATGAAGCAACAATAAATCAAATGTTTGTTTGTTGTTGCTTTAAGAGGTCATGGTGAGTATTTAGGTGTGAGGTAATTAAAACGTGATCATTGTTGCTTAAAATTAGGTTGCTCTACATTAGCTTTTAAGCTAACCTCCATTGGACATCCCCATCTGACCCCAGAAAGCTTTCCCCTTCATGGGCAGCCTTGCTTCAGAGGCAACATAAAGACTTCAAATTTGGCATTTCATAGACTGACTAAATAATTAACCCTAAAATTGTTCATAAAAATCAGTTTAATCCATTCAAAAGAAAGCTGCAGGTTGAAAGAACACGACAGGAAACAATGAAAGTTTCTGTCAGTGACACAAACAATACCAAAAAGGGGAAGACATTCATAACAGTGCTACCACACCCTCCAGAAACTCACCTGGGTGGAAAACTTCCATTTTACCTGCCCTGTATAAACACAACACTCGTTACAAATGGTCGTTTATAAAAGCTGCCATCTCCCAGGCGAGACTGAATAAGCTTATCAGTGAGCTAACCGACTGAAGTGTTTGTGCTACGTATCATGTAAACACTCATCTGTACTTTTCCACCGAGGTTCAGCAGATACAAAGAAGACGTTGGCACATCGAGAGTCTTTTAAAACAGGTTCTTTATTAAAAACAATCCAACAAACACACATTAGTAAGAAAGAAACTGTACAATCTATGACATGGAATTTGAACTCAACATAAAAATGCGGCATGTTTTTATAAGCACAGTTCATGGCAAACAGATTGGACGATGGACTAAGACTTTACACATCTCATAAATAAACGGTTGATCCAGTAGTGCCGACAACATTAAAAAACAAAAACAAATAAAAGCCGGTTAATTGTTCCTTTACAATCTGCATTCCTCAAGTAAAATGGTGAAAATGGCACCGTCCCATTGCATAAAGAGTTCGTCTTAAAACAGGTGAAGAGCGAGCTGGATCTCCAGATCCTCCAGCAGCGATAAAAACTTCACATGGCCTCCATCTCTCTTTGCTGGATGAAGAAAAAGAAGACGCAGGAGTTAAACAAATGAAAGCAACTTTGAGAAATGTGGTGACAAAAAGACAGGTTCTTCTTCTCACCTGGGCTTTGTTGTAGCGCTGATTCTGACGCCTTCTAGCGAAGAACTGAAAACACAGAAACAGAAAGTGAGTTACGACTCCGCCTCGGCTCACAGCTGCATGTAAAACACAATTAAAAAACTGTTTCCGACTTACCAGCACGGCCAGGCCGGCGAGCACAGCCAGAATCACCACCACGATGACGGCGATGATTCCACCCGACAGGTTCTTCATGGTGAAGGTGGGCGCCTCCTCGTCCACATAGTACACCAGGATGTTCTCCATCTCCAGCTTCTTGTTGTCCACCATCGGCTCAAACTTACCCTGGTCCTTGAAGAGGGGCAGCACCTTCACCTGCAGGAGGAAGAGGACGAGTCAGGTGAGCCAATCAAACGCTTTCATCTCACTAAGAATGTACACACGAGTGAATCTACATACGTCTTTCTCCATGTAGTAGGCCATGTTAGCCAGATTAGTCTGGCGGTCTCCCTTTGGCTTCTTCACATCCACAACAATGGTGCGGCTGGCCTTGTCGTACTGCAGGACATCAAACATGCACAGTTTAATTCAACGCTCTTCTCATATACATTTACAATTCATGACCAAACTGAGTGTTTTTCTCCCTCACATCAACGCTGTCCACCATGCTCTTGTCAAAGTTCTTATAACGTTTGTTGATGGCATCGGTGATGGCGCTGCAACAGGAGAGGAAATTCAAACATTGAACAGGACGGAACAAAGAGAAGTTTTTAACTCATTGAAAGTTTCATGAAATGTTTTAAACACTTACGCCTTCAGCTTGTTGGCGTCCATTTCTCCAGTCACCTCTTTGTGTTTGAGCTGAAGGCGAACCCAGCTGGAGAGAAACACATGTCAGAATTCAACAGTTCTCACATACACATTTGCTCAGAGAAAGTCAGAATTATAAAACTAAATACAAGGACCATTAGAAAGAACAGATGTGAATTAAAAAAGGCGGAGGACATTTGTTTGTTTTTGTGTCTGGTGAAAGTAACATCCTGAGTAAATGTGGTGTGCAAATGAGATTCAGCCCTCCATGTTATTCTAATGTATTTATTTTCCTCTGTGGTAATAATGATAAATCAAAAATTCACTGCTGACGCTCCAAATACTCACTATGTCTCCACCAGCTTTTCACACACCAGGTTCTTGTCTCCCTTGTCGGTTCTGCGGACACCGGCGCTGTTCACACACCAACACTCCTCGGTGTTGTTGCACTGCTTGGCCCTGAACTTGCCGTCGGTCTCGCAGTCTGGGTCGTAGATGCCGTCGTTGTCCACAAAGGCGTCCTCCGTCTGCTTCCCTCCGATCGTACGGGTGTCCAGACCTTTACTGGCTCGGTACATCTCAGCCTTCATGAGGAAGCACTTTGGGATCACTGAGCGAGGGAGGAAAGGAGGGTTTAAGAATAAAACGGGGGAGGAAAAGGAGGGAGTATCTGCAGGATGGATGGTGATGATATCTTTTACTTACAGTCGTTACATTTCAGCATTGCTTTGTCGTTGTTGCCGACCAAGAGGTGACAGGCACATTGAGGCTTATCTTCACAGGTGGCCCACTTCATGGTCCCACATGAGCCTGAGTACAGAAAACAACAATCAAACATTTAACCATCGACATTACACCTGCTTAAGGGACAAGGGGGGGGGGATTATTGTGCTCAGCAGTCTGTTCCTTTGTTTAATGTCCTAATACCTGAGCAAATTGTTCTTCACGTTTGAATTCCACCTGATTCTTGTAACTAGACAGACTCCTCCAGTTTTTAATGTATTTAAGACTAGAAATCAACTCCCATAAAGTCTTACAGGCCGAGTGTAAGCCGGTTTGGTGGAGGTTTAATGTACCTGTCATACAGAGAGGGGACAGGGCGGGTAGACGAGCAGGTTTGTCGAACACCTGGGCGTTGGTTTCCCCAGGGAGCGAGACAAATCCTCCCAACCCCCACCCAACAACAACTCAACGCGTCGCATATGCAAACTGCTTTTAACCTCACCTTTCCACCTCCCTCCAGCTGGGAAAATCGCTTTACACAACATAATGTAAAACTTAGAGAGTAGAAAATGGATTACAGGTGAACTAATCCGCGTAAGGGTAACTTTAAACCAACATGAAGCACCTTCTGCGTGAGCACTAACTGCAGCAGGTGGACTTTTTATTTATTTCTAAATAATAATGAAATGAAATAAACTACTCACAGTCTTGCGCAGAAGCTCCCACCGCGAGCGTCGCCAGCACGAGCGCAATCCACATATTCATGACTTTGTTTAAATTCAAAAAGTTTCCTTCTGATGCTCCTCTGAACCGTCCGTCTTCCTCTGAGCTCAAAGATGGAGTCCTGTCGATCCACACACAAAGCTTTCTTCTTGTCCTCCCTGCAGGTGTGTCCTGGTCCAACCTGTTTGAGGAGAAACTCCACGAGCGCGCGCTCACGCACTGACAAAGGTAAGTAGTCTTTAGAAAGCACGAGCAAATGTCCTGTCGATTATTGGTTAGATCCCGGTCGATGTTTGTAGTCGAACTGACACAGTGATGTTTTTGAAGTAAATTTATAAGACTGTTAGTCTCATGACGTCACTCTCATTTACATAGAGGCGGGGCTTGTCTTCAAACGCACCTTTTTTCCGGAATGACCATATTTGGTCTCCCTCTCGCTCCCTCTCTGTTGACATATTTTTATTCTTTCAACTCAGCAAAGCCGTATTTCCTTTGAATATGTGTCTTTACAATTAACCCAGTCGTCTAGATTGTTTTTCATTGTGTCTTGTCTTTAACAGTTTGTGTTTTTAAGATTCTTTCATAGCCTACATAAAGAAGCAGAATAATACACTTGCATTGTGATAACTTTCACACACTGTGAAGGGTTGATTTTGTTTTTATTCATCTGTAGGATTTAAAATGTCACATAAGAACCGCTTAGTGTGAAAATTTCTTAACGAGAACAACAAACATTCACAAAGTCAATCACCCAAACAAAACACTTTTATAAAAGATTAATTATAAAAATGTGATATTGAAACGTTTGTTTGTGAGAGATTCTGTGTGACGTGATGACATCATCAGCAGGTATCTTACCTGACAGAAACCAGAGGCAGACAAATATTTCCCAGGTGTTGTGAGTCACGCTCTGCTGGATGACACGGCTGACTCACTGCTGCGGGTCTCACACAGATTCTCTGTGGAGTCCAGTTCACGTGTTATTATTTTTATTTTTATCTTTCTTCATCATTTCACACACTCTTTTGGTTTGATGTCAGAGGCAAAGTGATACTGGAGCCATGAGATGTGATTTTAGTAAAAGCAGAGGATCAGTTTAAATCTTTCTGAGTGCAAACTCTGATTTTTATCCTGCTGAGAAAGAAGCTTCAGAGCCGAAGGAAGACAGGTTATCTAAAACCACAGACTGTAAATATTATGAACGAAGCCTGAGTGACGTCACCCTGCTTCTGGGGGCGCTGGAGTCCCATCGATGGCGGTCTCCATGCTGGAAATCCTGTCTCAGCCTGACGACAGACTGAGAGCTGGAGCTAAGGCGGGTTTTAAGCCTCCTGACAAACCGTACAGTGTGTGTCGATCGAGACATGAGCTAATCAGACCTATTTGTTTTTTTGAACCAAGCTGTAAACATGTTAATTTCTACTTTTCAAAATGGGTGTGTATGTGACTTCCTGTGCTACTGTAGCCAGCCTCTAGTGGACACTAACCGAACTGCAGGATTTTGCACTTCAGCATCAACTTTTTGGCACAATTTATTTCCGAGGCACACATTTGCGACACCCACTTTTGGGTCCCGCAGCCAGCAGTTGAGAACCACTGCTGGGAGCGCTCGGCCTGATTGAAGCTTCACACAGAAAGATGATTTATGTTTGTTTGAGATCATCCATTTATGAAGACACGCAATACACACTCACACAAAACTCCTGAAAACTTTCAGAATTTTTCCTCCCTGTCCCCTTAGATAATTTTCCCTTTGAAGTCGTGTTGACTTATTTTGAGAACACAGCAGAAAATATTCAGAAAAATGTATCGTGAAGGAGCAGGAAGGCGTGGTGAAGTTCATATCCTGTGACAGGCTCACAACTGTAGACCTGTATCTGACTGCAGGACCAGTGTGATCCCTGTGCATGTAATCAAACTGCTTCATCATGTTGTCTGTTTTTCAGTATGTTTGTAAACTTCACATAACATTTACATAAATTCAAATCTTTCATTGTAGCGTTGGACTGTGTTGCTTTGTCTGCCACTTCTGCATCGTCCATTTCACTTCATGTCTTCCCTCCTGAGACGCCCCCCACCTCCTGTCCAATGGTAAAGTCACACACTTTGGGGTGCATGTGTTAAAAAGGAAGTTTGCCTGAAATGTTATAAACATTTTCAGGAGTGCATGTGTGGGAAACTGGTTTAAGTCGTGCCCTGCCACCCACTGGCTAACTGTATTAGGTTTACCAAAAATGTCTTCAAAATAAAGATCAGACATGAATTTAAATACACTAATTGATTTATATGTTTAAGCTGTGTTGTTTCCCAGTTTTGAGATGGGATGGGATGATTGGGCATTTTGGCATTTTGCTTTTCTTTGATTTTGAGGAAATGTTTTACTGTTGGAGTGGGAGGAGCATTTACAGGAAGTTTGACATTTTACCAAACATGTTCATACGTGTTTTGGATTTTCCTTCCATTCTGTTAATGTGTGTGTGTGTGTGTGTGTGTGTGTGTGTGTGTGTGTGTGTGTGTGTGTGTGTGTGTGTGTGTGTGTGTGTGAAGTAGTTGGTATTTCCTGTTTCATCAAAGAAGAGCAGCATCTGCAGTATCATACGAACACATTCAGGCCTAAGTCATCACATCTCACCACAGTGTCTGATTTACTTCTGCTTTTGTTGTTTCCTCTTCTGGCAGCTATGCAGAGACAAACACCTCTCTGAAGAGCGTCCAGTATGAAGCAGGAATACGATCTGCACGACCTTTACTGTGTGACCTGTCCCAACATGACGCTCAGAGCGAGGCTGCTGTGGTCATGTGACATCCATTTTAAACAGGTTGCTAAATATAATGCCGTTCTTATTTCCAGTGCTTCTGTTCTCCTCCAACAAAAGTCTCCAACTATGTAAAACAAAATTTTCTGACGAGTGCAAACCTGCCTCACCAGCACAGTTTAAAAATGTGAAAGTCTATTCTAAAACAACAGAAATGTGAAGACACAAACCCAGAAAACAAACAGGATACATGCTGCAGATGCCACCATCACCAGAGAGAGGATTTTGCTGTTTGTAATTTTTACAGATTTATGTTTTTCTCTGCAACTAAAAAGATAATTTTTGGGGGCTTTTTGTCTTTAATGGATAGGACAGCTGAAGAGAGTCAGGACATGTTTCAAGGATGGAATGAGGGATGACATGCAGCAAAGGGCAGAGGTCAGATTCGAACCCACTGTAGCCTCTGTGCATGGGGCATGCAACGTAACCGCTAGGCTATCCGGCGCCCCTCTCTGCAGCTTTTGTGCCTTCATAGCTGCAAAGTGAAAAGTGATGTACAACCAGAATACCACCTATTCAACCCAACTGTCAGTGTAACCAAAGTAAACATTAATACAGACCACATTGAGAAGATCAGTCCCAGTTTGCCAACCAGTAAACAGAGCTCGTCAGCATGCATGAGATTCAGGCATCTAATGTGGTCTAAAATCCAAAAACTTTGGAATTGAATTGGTGAAATAAAGGTCAGTAAAAAATCAGTAAGGTGTGTAGTGAGTGAGATGATAAAGTGACCTTACTATATAGGGATTGTTTGTGATTCACTCAGCTCAACTACTTCTCGTCTGTTTTCCTTTAAAGTATCGGTATGACTGACAGACATGAACACAGTACGATAGGTTAACGATTTGATACATGTTATACTAAAAGGTGGTGGTTCTTGGAAATAGATTAAACAAGTTAACCCCAAAAGTCCTTTAATAAAACTTTATTTCAGTCTTATAAAAGTGCAGATGTTGGTCCAGTAAATGTTTGCATCAAGGAGCTTATGCCGCATAGTTCAGGTATTCTTAAACCATTAGACGGTGTGGTCAGAGACAGAGACAGAGGTCAAATTCATTGTTATGGCAGAATGGGGTCAATCTGTAAGACATTTACTGAATTAAATTTTAAAAAAGTGACCTTACTATATGATCAGACATTAAGGAAACATGCTATGTTGAAGTGCTGACTTCTCTGACAACAATGCAGCAGCCAGTATGTCCTCCTTCTAACTTTAGATTCTGGTCCTGAATGCTCTGGATTTGTTTGGACCAGAGAAGGTAGGCGCTTTTAAGACACCCCCACACGGCTGTTTTGGACGCCCCTCGGTTTGCCAGATATGAGACCAGTTATCAGAGGTGCTAAATTATTTCAATATGGACATCAGATTACCTTTTGAGTTAAATCTGCTTGCTGCACAGAGAGCTATTTGAATTTATTTGAAGCTTATTCGGGCGTTAATTCTCACTTTCTATATCCTGAAATCAGAAGTTTGTTTGGACTTTTCAACTTATTGTGGCCTAAAATAAGTGAAATTAGAAATTTTCTACTAGAAATTATGACAAACATATTTGCTAAGATTGAGTTTTTGCAGTGCAAAAGATGAAACCATGTGTTGTTTTTCAATCCTATAATAATGCCTCATAAATACCAATCATTGTTTAAAATGTAGAAGTCAGTTGAGTTCACAGTTGACGTTGTACAACCTGCCATGTCGTTAACCAAGTCGAGGTTAAATCAGATGCCTGGTGTGACATTTAAATGTCTTCATTAAAACCTTCATTGTTCAGGTATTTATAACGACTGTAATTTAATCCATGTTTTTAACATCTGTGATACAAAGTGGTATCAAGAAGAATCAAACAGTTAATACCAAAACACTCCCTCGCTCCCTCGATGCGCTGCTGAATGAAAGCCATCGTCCTCTTGTCTACAGCGGCGAGGACAAACGAGGCCCTCAGGGGCCCTCAGGGGACCAGTCCCATCATTGTTCCACAGCTGACACACAAGCAGGGGGATATGGGTGTTCCCCTTCCCAGAGGTTTAAGATGTCAGGGCAGAGCATGGTGTGCTGAGGTGGACCATTGTACCCGATCCCAGGGGCGGAGGAGGAGGAGGAGGAGGAGGAGGAGGACACAGGTGGAAGAGGACGCTGACACCGACGCCGATCGACCACAGAAGGTTCGAGTCTGTGAGGAAGAGAAGGCGAGAGATCCAGAAGAGGGGAGTTGAATCGCTCTCCCCCCAAAAATACTCAAAGACGACCGGGGGAAATATGCGGTGAGTGTTTTTAATGTTTCACGTCTTATTTTACTGTTGGATGTTTCTCTGTGTTTCTCATCAATCTGCTTTATGTTACACAGACCTTAACCACAATAAGCATTATAGTATTCATTATCTTTACTTCATGATCACTTTTAAGAATATATATAATCAAGCATACAGTCTTGACTTAGATGTTAAAGAAGACGGTTTAATCATGGTGGACAGATGAGCTGATCTTGTTACTTACACCTCTAAGTCATTT